TAAAACGCAGCCTAATTTTCATTTTTGGGTGAACTAACCCTTTAAGTTGAATGCTCAAATAAACCATGACTGTCCGGTCTGACAATTTTATGAATTATTTTTTAAATCAGAACATATTTAATTATAAATAAATCTTAACTGTGTGTGTGTATATATATGTGTGTGTGTGTGTGTCAGGGGCGTTTCCTCTGAGGAGGCAAGGGAGGCAGTGCCTCCTCAAAATATTGGATGAGAAAAAAAATGTTTATTTTTAATTTTAATTCAACCAGCCACAGGAGCTGCGGATACAGTTCTACTCTGCAGTCACTGAATCAGTCCTCTGCACATCTATAACTGTCTGGTTCAGCTCAGCTACTAAAACTGACCTCAGAAGACTACAGCAGATAGTTCGGACTGCTGAGCGAATCACTGGTACAACCCTCCACACTCTCCAAGAACTGCACTCATCCAGAGTGAGTAAAAGAGCTGAGCAAATTCATTCTGGACCCCTCACACCTAGGTCACTTCCTCTTTGAACTGTTGCTGTCTGGTCGGCGTAACAGAGCACTGAGCACCAGAACGGCCAGGCATAAGAACATTTTCTTCCCTCAGGCAATCCATCTCATGAAGTTAACTTTACAATAAACATTTAATACATAACTACATTTATTTAACACACCATACTTCTTATTCACATTTCCTTGCATTTAATTGTACATAACACACCTTTACACACAAATACCATCTATTGCCTATTTTGTATATTGTGTTTTTCTTCAAAAAATTTGTTGGATATTGCTATTTCCTCTTACTTACTCTATATTTATTATCTGTGTCTTGTCACTGTCCTTCTGTTTGTGCTGTGGAAGCTTCTGTCACAAATTCCTCATATGTGTTAACAGACCTGGCAATAAAGCTCTTTCTGATTCTGATTACAGCAGGAGTCAGCGTCTCTCTCGCCTCGCCTGAGCCCAGTTTCACAGACAAGGCTTAAGCCTAGTCCCAGACTAAAATGTAAATCTGAAAGAAACTTGCACTGATTGACCTTAAAATATGTCAGTGCCCTTGTTTTGTCTCAAGATACACACCAGTAATGTTTTTTTTTCTAAAGCATGTTAATAAAAATTACTTAAATGTCCTAACTGAACTATGGCCTAATCCTGTTTTAGTCTAAGCCCTGTCTGTGAAACCAGGCCAGCCTCGTGTTTGTGCGCACTCGCAAATCAGTCTGAATTAACAATATGATGGCATTAATGGGAAGACTAATTTAAAAAAGTAAGTAAACAACTCACACACTTAGATATAACCACTTTGTTATACGTCAAAATAAGATTGAAAATGGCATGAAAACATGACCTGTGGGAGCATGAGTGTAGAATACGCGGGAGATGCGTGGGATGTGTCACGTAGAGATTTTCAAGGGCCAGTGTGAATACATCTAGATTTAAATGCAAAGAGACAAGATAGTCTATGCATGACCTGACGCTTCATTTGTATCCAAAATGAGGCGATGTGAACATTACTGAGCACTGAACACTCTCCTGTCTGTTTCATTCATAGGGAAAGTCCAAAACAGACTCATAGAAGTAATAACTTATAATGTGCCAGGAAATCCCTAATATGGACAAAGGCATCCAGCTATCACTGTATCTAAACTGAATAAAAAGCAGAAACGTTTTGACTGATAAAACATGAAGACAATAAACACACGATTGCTACAATTTTTATATGTGTTTTTCCAAGTCATCTCCAGGTAATAAATAAAGTATATGAATAATGCAGTGCTAATTGACATATCATTTATTACAGTAACCTTTAGAAACTAGAAAATATATGTTCTGCTTTATTCTGTGATAAAAATGTCAAAAAAAAGTGTTTGTAGTATATTAATCAATCATAAAATTCAAAAATACTTCAAAGATAACTATTAAAAATAATAGCTGAACATAAATTCACAAATAAAATATATTGTTTAAATTGTTACTGCCTTAAGTTATTATTTTGGAATAAATGTAAAATGCTTAAAACACTAACTTGATGAGATGCATACTTGGCTGTAATAAATAGAATATTAATAACATTGTAAATGTAAAAATATAAAACAGAGTTGTTGTTGTTGTTTCTTTCTTTTTTCTGATAGTGTACGTTCCAAGAAAATGTGACTGGGACATGAATTTACATTTGATGAAACAAAACAAATGTCATGAATTCACGAACTGCATACTTTAATGCAATACTTTCTATTTTAAAAAGAATATTTAATATTTGTAACTAAATCTATATTTTATATATTATTGAGGCTTGTCATTCTGAACAAAGCTTTAGCAGGCCAACCGAACTTAATACAGAGCGCTGAGACTGGCTATGTCTCAAATCATAGTGAGCTGCCTACCTAGAAGGCACTGTTGGGTCGCATAGCTGCGGGCAGCACTTATGGTATCACACTAAGAGCACTGGCCTACGCTGCCCATAAATGCTGTCTATGTAGGCGGGTTAACAGACTTTGCGACGCAGCCGATGTGACCAATCAGCGCCGTGTTCTGCAGCTCGGCGGCAGCATGTTTGAGTGAGACACGCAACGTCGATTACTCAAGATCAAAAGCCTAGCGAAATGAAATTAATCGGGACGGACATCGCCGCTGCCGATCGTTTGTACTAAAATAATTTCGTACAGTGAAAAAAAGGCCCGCGTTTCATTCATGAAACATGTCTGCATTGTCAGGCAACAGGGAAGCGGTACCTGCAGCCCACAGCTTGTTGTTTTCATGACACGTTGAGAGCTGAGGGAGATTTGATGCCGGTTCCGCCGCAAACGGACAGAATTTAGTTGCGTTCGGACGGAGAGAACGGGCTCGACATGGCCTCGGTCAACTGCTTCGGTGGTCCGGAGGAGCTCGAGGACACGAACCACGCTGTAAGTTTGATGAAAGAGCTGAAATTATTCTACGACTCGCAGCTGTTAGTCGACGTGACTATCGAAGTGGAGCCTGACCCGGAGCAAAGTGTGTCCTCAGGCTGCTCAGGAAAAGTTTTCCAGTGCAACCGAAATATACTGGCTGCTGCGAGCCCGTATTTCAAGAGCATGTTTACCGGAGGACTGTATGAGAGCACTCAGAGGAGCGTCACCATTCACGAGGTGGACGCCCATTCAATGGCTGTCATAATCGATTACTGCTACACTGGCAAAGTGACAATCACTGAAGGCAACGTGCAACGGCTTTATGCAGCTGCCAACATGCTGCAGCTGGAGTATATCCGGCAAGCGTGTGCCAACTTCATGACCAGAAGGCTGGACCTTTCGAACTGTGCAGGGATTTTGAAGTTTGCCGACACTTTTGACAATCTGGAGTTGAAGAGCAAGGCTCAGGTGTTCATCGCGAAGAACTTCGTCCAGCTCGGTGCCAGCGCGCGAGAGCTTTGTGAGCTGGACCTGAAGCAAATTAAGGAGATCCTCACACTGGATTCTCTGGACGTGGACTGCGAACGCAGAGTGTGTTCGTTTGCAATACAGTGGGTTGAGAATAACCCGCATGCGGATGCTGAAGATGCGCTGCAGGTCCTTAGATGTGTGCGGTGGGCTTTGTTTTCAGAGAAGGACAGGGTTTATCTAGAAGGCCTCAAATCAAAGCCTTTTATAAAGAAGTATCTTTCGAATGTCCTCGACGGGGCCGGCGGTGAGCCGAGCGCTACGATTTCAAAGGGCGTACATGCTGCCAAACAAAGAATCGGCAAGAGTGCAAAAGAAATGGTGCTTTTCTTCGGACGGCCAAATGAGCCTTTCATGTGCTATGACCCCTATACGGACGACATCTATTCTATGGCGTCCCCGGTCATGAACCTCACCAATCAGAACTTCAAACGCTCTCCTGTGGAGACGTTTTTGGTCTGCACCACGCCAGAGAACAATCTGTATCTCGCCTCGCACCTGTCCAAGCACTTCTGGGTCTACAATCCCCTGTTAAATTGTTGGCAGGAGCTTGCGGAACGACTTCTCAGAAGAATGCACTCGTACGTGGGCTACCTCAACGGGCACCTGTACATTCTGGGAGGCAGGGATCCGGTATCGGACGCCAGGCTCAAGGAAGTAGAATGCTACAGCATTCAGAGGAACCAATGGGGTTTTGTGGCCCCTTTGCCACATTCTTTGGGAAAGATGCAGGTTGTGACGGTAAACGAGCGGCTTTATGTGGTGAACAAGAGGAGGATGCTCAGCTACGAGCCGAAGAAAAGCCTCTGGCTCCAGCGGGGCTCTCTGAAACGCAGCAAACTCCACAAAGCTTGTGTTTTCCAGGAGCAGATTATATGTTTGTGCGATATCCCTGTGGTCAAAGCCTATAACCCAGCTCGCGGAGAATGGAGGCGGATCGGTGACATTCCCATTGACAGCAGCGCTCTCAACTACCAAGTGGTGTCACATGATCTTTCAGAAATCATTCTAATATGCTGCTTTATTATCAATATTGGAAACAGTTGTGCTGCTTCATATTTTTCTGGAAACTGATAATTTTTTCATGATTATTTGATGAATAAAGTTAAAAAAGAACAGTTGTTTATTTAAAACAGAAATCTTTTGTAACAATATACTGTTCAAAAGTTTGGGGTCAGTATTTATTTATTTTTTTAAAGAAATTAATGCTTTTATTCAGCAAGGATGTGTTAAATTGATAAAAAGGGATAATAAAGACTTATATATTTTTTCTACTAAAATAGAAAAAAAAACTATTTTAAATAAACGCTGTTCTTTTTTAACTTTATTCATCAAATAATCCTGAAAAAAGTATCACAGTCTCCAAAAAAAAAAAAAAAAAATTTTAACCAGAAAAACTGTTTCACTGCAAACACTTTAACTATAATCCATTTGACCATCACTTCTGACCAACTGTCGTACAAGTAGGGCTGGGCGATACGGCCAAAAAAAAAATCATCATGATAACATTTTTAATTAATGTTAATTTCTTTTAAAATTAAAATATTAATTTCTTATTTTCTGCATTTTCTAATGAGTGATATGGTTTCGAATCATGAATCAGGTTTGTGTTGCCTGACTTTGATGAGTATCCTTAGCAGTTTGCAGTGAGAGAGTCGTTTCTCTTCACCCGCGTCAAACCCAGCAAATGGGCTGTTTTGACCCAGCGGTTGGGTTAAATGTTTAACCCAACCTTCTGGGTAGTAACCCAACCGCTGGGTCAAA